TTGGAGTCTGTCGCCATCCTCCAATGATTCAAACAACAATTGTGTGTTTCAACTGTAATTTGAGCCATATTATTGATGATATCCGCCCACAGTAAACAAGTATCGTATTGCCACCAGTAATCGGGTTTGTTTATGATCACATCTCAAGTTAATTTGATACAACTGTGTCAATAAAACATGATGGAAACTAAATAAAAATAACATAGACATCACCACGTTTCAGAGTACTCAAACTAATTTCAATTATTCTACTCAGAATTGTCGGTTTTCTCGTAGCTATTTAGGTGCATTTCCGCTGATATCTAACCAGAATGTTGAACCTTACCAGCAAGATAATTGAAGCACGAAGTTCACATAGTATGAGGTGATGTCAGACTGATCCAGTAGTTATTTATATCTAACATAAAATTTAAAGTTATTAATCCCTTAAGAAGCATATATTATGGGAACATTTTTTCATTTCCATATGTTTACAAACTTCACCAATATGTGATGAAGATTCAATTGATGAGAAACGAGTAAAATCTATTCTATTCTGGTTATACTTTTATACAAACTTTATCAATTCAATCATCAATCTTTCTACAACAGAATTACTACATCATAGTTAAATCTGTAGGAAACATTCACTCAGTTTTTTTCATACACATTTTAAGGAATGGCATCTACTCAGTATAAGACGAACGCACATTACTCGAATGAAAGCAAATTTGAGACTAACAATCTGAATGTAACACGTATATTTCTCAAATCAATGAGTTGTTTTGACTTTGATATATTTTTATGATTTCACTTATTCACATACTTCCTAGTCGAAAACATAAGGTGACTGTTGTGAAACTGAAACCGTGAAGTGCGTCCTTGCATCTGGTAGAGATGGGCTTTTACAATCTTACTATATAAATGCTGTAAAAACTTTTGATTTATAAGTACGCTAATTGAATTCCCATTCATAGTCTGATAGAAAATGGCATTCATGTTACAACGGGTTTTATTGCATTATGTCATATTGACACAAACATCTTCAACCATGGTGAAGAATACATTGCAAATAAAGTTGTTTATTTGTGGTAATCTGATTCTTGTTTGCCTAATATAAACACAATAGTGTGAATTGTTTATGCACTTCCTTCTTGAATTTCAGTGTTATCAATACCATTATGCGCCATATCGTTTTATGAAAACAACAGTTGTTCAATGGAAACTTTTAACAAATTTGCTGAAAAATACTTTCTAGTCCTAACATTACACTTTGGGTTAGCTTGCATTATATAGTTTATAAATACATCAGTCAAATTGCATTCCGTCCATATGGGATTGACCACTATCATCAGATCTTATTTTTGGAAAGCTTCTATTGAACCGATAATTGAAGTTGAATGGCAAGCAATGCTATTATGTGATTGAGGTATTCACGTTAAATTAACACTGCTATATAATAATGACAAATTCTTCTCTGAGATAATAGTCACTATTCTATAAATATCAAGCATGATTGAATGAAACTAACATGAGCGAGATGCCGGTTGTTTTTTTAAGCATGAAGTTTATGAATGCTGTACTCTTCTTCCAGAAAATATCTAGATATAGGGGAACAAACAGAAACTCTTGGAGTGGAATATGAAAATCAACATGAAAATAGCATTAGAATGTTGAGTTATGACTTGTGAAACATCTTGCTGAACTCGTTTTAAGGAGTTCGTTAACGTGATTCACTTCCTCAAACTATATAGTCTACTTGATCCTCAGATGAATTCGTTTGTCTACTTTGATGTCTCTGTACAGTCTGATTGTACATACTACATATGTCTGTTAACATAAGTAGCATGCACTACCGAAGTACTAAATATTTAACTTTGCTCCTGTATGTTATTTAAGTTTTACATCGATTGCTTTTCTTGTCCGTTTTCTGAAGAAGAGACTCACAATAAGTCGTGAAGGGTGACTTGCACAATCAGATTAAATTAAAGTGTCACTTCACGTACTGGCGAATGTCAATGAATCTATTATCTTATTTAAATTATTTGATTTCTGATTATGGCAGAATACAGTGTGCATGTATCGGCACTCGACCTAATACAATGCCACAGTCGCAAAACAAAAGTCATAAGAAGCAGAATAAGCGATTCTTGTGCGAGTCAAAAATGTACAGAGCAATCACAGTATTTATATTGTTTAGTATTGGCTATAATCCAATCAATCCTCAAGGAGGAAATTTATGAAATTGTTCAATCACAGTATGCCACTTTGTTAATTGAGATGATTCTATGTGGTTCTGACTGGATGTGATATGCTTGAGCTATGTCGATTTTCTAGGTAACGAACAAAGTCCAATGACACAATGACACGAGAAGCTAATGTAATCTGTTTTCCCATTCCCCGCTAATTAGAGGAAGAAGTGCAAAGCAAAGTAGGGGAATATATATTCTGTAAGCAGCCGAGTACAAGGCTGTCATAAGGGGAAAGAACTCAAACGTATATATAAAGCGATAATTTGTCCTTGAGTAGCATTACAAAATAGCACACTCAAAGATACCATGGACCAATATCATTTAAGATATTTTACAAGTGGGAAATACGACGTGATGTTGAAAAGAGCGCCTTTGCCGCGAAAACAAAGAAGTTCAAATTTTCAAAATAAAATTACAAAATTAAGCCATTTGCCAAGTAAGTCCTACGGATTTGACTTTCCCAACACGATGGGACCTCTTCGTCTCCTTTACATACTATGAAGGCTTCTTCCTGATTTTGGAGACGTTCTGTCTCAATGCATGTGGATATAATATGTAAGTAATCAATGACTCCTAAAGTTGGAATACTCCGCAAAACCTCACAACATTCCCACATTACATTGAATAAAAGCAATTGAAACACTGGAGAATAAAGGACTGTAATTGGGCTCTAAAAGTAATTTAACCCAAGAGAAGAAACATTCGATAGCTGACAATAATATTGAATGGGAGTTCTAATGGCTGACAGGTTTACTACATGTGAAATAATGTAGGAGTTAAGTGTCTGAATGATTGATTGATGTTTCCATCTTAGATAATGAGGTGTTATATTTTATTTCTGTCGTATCATTAGCAGCATTGACAGTGTTCCGATTGATTAGTAATTGCAAACATGTAAGATGGTTTACGAATGATTAAGTTAGATTTAAAAATTGTTCTTAGGCATGACCATTGGAACCATGTCTCACTGTCTCACTTATGCTGTACAGAATCATTTGGATGTCTTCTTGTGTTTCTTAAATGTTCTTGAGATGAGTCATCATGTCACAAGAACACTTTGCAATATATATTGTATCACAATTTACACATCCTAGTTTTCTTACACGAAAACTTTGTCGAATTATTCTCAAGAACATTCATCAACATTTGACCGCAAGAATAATCTTCTACTGACTCTTTAATGCAGTACATTCAACCACAATCTAATGTCAGATATCATACACAGTGGATGATGATATATTAGCTGTCTAAAGTTACTGGTTTGGTTTTGGAAATTGTTTCTGTTTGAAATGGACAACACCTATACAACTTCTTTGGTGACTTTCATACTTTAATTTTATAAATCACATTTAGTGGATGTTTCACACACAAGAACTGTTTAAATCGTACACTCACCATCACACGATGATTGTAATGACGACTTATATTATGAATTTGAAATACATAGATGATTAGTGAGAACATCGATTTACAAATGATATATAATTTATGAAATTGTTGAATGAGTAATGACTAAGTATTCGAAATCTTGAAGTACGGAAATACAACTAAACGGACACCATTCTGGCCGTCTAATCACTTCAGATACATAACTCAAAATATAATATCCGTTTGTTTATTGAATTATACCAGTTGGTCTGCTGCAAAATATCAACTACATGTTCTTGCGATCTAGATATTTCAACACTTTATCTGTTTCTTTATTTTGACAGTTCATTAAGTCAATTCATTGCGTAACCTATTCGCTTTGCAACCTACAAAATGTAGAGTCGGAGACATCGTGATGACAGGCGATATGCATTGAGAAAAGTGGATATTGTAGCTGTATATAATTCCTCAAAATCAATAGCTCAATACATGTTCAACTTTGCATGCTGAACACATTGTTTAAGTGTAGTTGTTTAACTGAAGACTTTCGATCATGCATCCGTACCAGATCACGTTGCAACCCAGGGTGTGACACATCTTCCACGTTCACTAGCCAGATTAGAGCAAACACTTTTCGATATATTGATAACGCATCAAATATATCTCTCCTACATGTTCGCATCTGACTTCTGGTTTTATCTCATTTTGGGGACGATTCGAATGTAGAAAGTGTTTCTAGTTTCTAGTTACAAAACTAGAATACTAGTCGTATCATCAAAATTATTCAGATGTTGATTTATTAGACTGCTAACTTGTAACTGATGATCACCCAATATTTATGGTCAGGTTAACCAAGAAGTAAGAAACCGAGACTTGTTGAAATACTTTGTGCGGAGAAAATGTTGCTGTGAATATTATGATAATTTCAATAGTTGAAGATGCTCAATGCTCAGGTGTCCCACAATAGTAGGAAATGGGCGTTCAGTTCTTTCAGGTTAAACTTATATTGACTCATGATCTCAACTATTGAAATAAGTAGTACATTGCTTTCTTTGGAATGAAAGATCATTATTTATTCATCATACCTACACAATATTTTCAATCGATTATTCCTACTTGAAAGATCTCAAGCTTTTATCAGTATAGAGGCTAACACGGTATCACCCTATATTATCACTTATTCAATTTGTTTCATGAATCAATTCATTGCAATATATCTTTTATAAACCAAGATGACACCGTTAAACTAGAATATATAACAAAAAATTAAAAAAAGACCTAGCGCTATATTAAAGAAGACAGCGGTTTTATTTTTTCCTCGCTGTCTTACACAGGCCATCAAGCCTCCTGTCCGTTCCAGACCTAAACTGAAACATATTTCAAATTTTGAAACACTCATCGTTTGAATAGAAAGTAGAAGTATATTACAATGTATCGTGTGTAATATTTTAAGTTAAATAGATATGAGGTAACATTTTCAGCATAATGAATCGCGTAATGATTTGTTCGTATTTATATATTTGATTCACTGTTGTACACACAATTGTGATTTCTATATTTTAGCAACATATTACTGTTTACTTAACTTGTCGTTCCATTCTTCTTATTTGTAACATACGTTAATCCAATACGTTTCTGACCGAAATCAAATACCGTATAGAATCTTCTCATAAAAACGTCACCAAGTATCCAAACATTCGATGGTAAGGAATCATCAGCCTCAAAAGGTGATGAGCACATTGTTCCAAGCCAAAGGTGCTCCTGTAATCGAATGAGGAAGACAAAAATATGGAAGTAAATTGTTTCTCTCTCATTAGTTAAAATAGCATATTTCCAGAGGAATAAAAACTAGATGATCATTATTTTGTTCCGTTATTTGTTTTCACATTTATAGGATGGTATAGTTTATCTGTCAGTATAAAATTTTCTGCTTCATATATTCGAGGTTGTTAGATTTACCACAATCGTAGTTCATATAGGTTAGTTAAACATCAGTTTAATCTACGCTTTCAGTGAAGTCTACGAATAATTGTAATCCTATGAATGTATTTCCATCGGTAAATAGTTTTGCATTTCCCATTTCAAGGGAACGAACTTTTATTGAGTAGTAAACACTTCCTGACTGTCTACTCAATTCAAAATCTCAATAACACATTACATAATGAAATCTAACTTTACCAGCTCGTTTTCAATCAGATTATTGACTGTCCTTTACAACTGATATGAACGAAACATATGGTGATAATCCTCTATCAAAAAACTAAATCTTTACCCATCTATTCAGCTTAGATTTAAGAGAAGCGATTCGGTTATTTAATTTTACATGGTACAATATTTGTTCGCCAGTACAGAATACATTGCACTCGTTCTAAAGAACGATATTATTATTATTATTATTATTATTATTATTATTATTATTATTATTATTATTATTATTATTATTATTATTATTGAAACCTCCTACATGTGTGCTCTCTAAAGAGAATTTTCACAGTTCTCATTCCTTTTTCGCACCGTCTCAATGACTGGAATCACATAATAGGATCCAACTGAAGTCATTATATCACTCTGTATTTTGCAAGTCTGTTTTCCATCAAATTAACTTGAAAATACTAAAAGTGAACACCATGAATACACAATATATGACCAAAATGTAATGAAGAGGGCATTCATAATATAATCTGACAAAATACTTTCGTTCACCTTAACAACATAATGTTGTGGCAGCAATATGTACTTCCTTTTCTGAAAGATAAACTCGATCGGAGGCAACATGTCAATTCGGCTACAGTCAAGGACATTTCTTCCAATAACATGATAGGAAACACCGAGCAGTGAGTTGATTCTTGTCACTTGCTCTCTTTCACCCAGAATCACTGATGTCCCAGTGTCAATAGTAGCAGTACATTCATTGCAAAGTTCAACACCCTTTATTATCAAACTGAATGGACATTAAAACATCAACAACAGCAAAAAACAAGATGTAGAACTAATCAAAAAATAAACAAAACGAGTTCGATTTAGAAAATGAACATGGAATCGGATTATTTAAACATTTCGTAAATTAACTTTCTCTAGCAACTTCTAATGGATATACATTTCATTCTGAATACAGTTCGCTGAACGAATGAGTCTACTTGTTGGTATTGACATTCTCGATAACATCCACATTCAAGTCAGTGTAACTGTTGAGTTCTCACCAAACAAGTGAGTGACATGTGAAATCCCAAAATCGAGACAATATATTTATGTGCTAAATAGGTTACTTATAATGGCAAGACGACATGAACAATAGTATTTACAAACGTGAAGTCTTTTGGGATTCAAGGTATGAACGACAGCTCATATCACAATCAATGACGTTAAGATGAGTTCAGTGAACGCCCAAACGAGAAACAATGTGCTTAGGTACAGTTAATAACTTTTGACGAATTAGAATAACGTGATTCATGGAGAATTAAACTGAAAACGAGTCAACATCGAACTTGATAGTTATTGCAAGTAAATCAAACTACATTGAACAACACGTGAAACAAACGAAAATAACTGAGAATGATGGGGAGATACAATCATAGTAATAGAATGGATGAAATGCATAACATTTCTATAAATATTTATTTATGTCGCTTGAACCAATAAGCCGATTTTATGAGAAACACGTCCAAAGTTGTTCGTCGACAACATGAACTACTTACTACAAGACAGTAAGTAACATGACTGAGGAACAACAATGTATATGTGGAGAACTGAACTGACAGTTTAAAAACGGAATCAACACTAACAATTTGTTGCATAAAAACCATAAATACTTGTTAACTTGTTAGAAATTTTGAGCGAAATTACACTTCGAATGGGATATTCTAGCGATACATGTGAGCTACATCAAGGATGAGTCGACAAACAAGCACAATTCATTCCAGAAGTACATAACGTTACCTAATGTAGTTGTAGAATAACAGTTGCAAATAAAAAGAAATATGAAAGGGGTAAAGTAAAAATGGTGAAAATGTTGAATAAATGTAATCGCCTTGTAAATCTTTTAGAAAGATACCAGACTAAATCGTACATAGGCTTATTTATATATCAATCAGTGTATCATTTATGCAACAGTCATCTTCGCCTAATAATTATATCTCCAGTTACACTAGTTTCATATAACTAGCGCAATGAAATGCAATATCATCGTCATGGTTTGAACTCACTGACAGATTGAGCAGACATATTTCATTTTTAAGTTGGTCATGTTCTTTCATTTGAAGTAAGAAGTTGGCAACACTTCACACGGTATTATTCGAAGCACGTTTACCTGTGAGCTTGCCAAATAATAGGAATTGCAAATTGTCAACAAGTATATTGGTGACCATAGTATGAAGCATTGTTGAGATTAATAGCTCAGTTGTATACATGATCTGTGAATAAGATGTAGTCACTTGATTGGCTAAGTGTGTGTGACTGATGTGTGTTCGATTTGGTGAGGAAATGAAATTTTTGTAGATTTCAGAAATTCACCTTACTACGGGGATCACCACAGAAATCCTTTATAGTGACTTCAGAAAAAATTAGTCCATTGGATATGAAGTCACTTATCGTGGCATTCATTTTATGAAGCTTGATGAATGGGATCAATTTATCTTTCATACATTACCAAACAAAATTATGTTGGTTTCTTGCAAAAGGTAAATGAAGAAGCCAGTTGATTTACATTACCATCGAAATAAATAGACCGCTCACTACGGTTTTCTTGAGAGTATATAATAAGAATCATGAATTTTATCGTTTTGTATTAGATGATGGAGACCTACTGGCGAGGTTAGCTCTGCTTTAAACACTTCTCGTAAATCAATATTCAAATATATATACATATACATTGTGCATGAAGAAACAATCTCTCATGAGTTTCCAAATCGAATTTCAATCAGTTATCTAAATACGAAAAGCGGTTCAAATAATATCGACTTTTCTGCATCACCTCAATCAGACAAATAAAACAACATGCAACTTCAGTCGACCAAACAAACTTCCAACAAGCTAATTCGCACTTTCGGAAAGCGAATAAAATTTACTTATTGTATTTGATCAAACACTACCTTGACATTCCAACTGCCCATATATTGTTGTAAACGGTAGGCATATATTCGAAATCTCCCTCAAAGTATTCAGGATTAACACCACCGAGTACCATTTCACCACCGATCGGAGCCCCGTTTTCTCTACAACCAATTATTAAATAAATCCATTCATATTATTTCCACTGTAAAAATACATTAGTGTAAAACATTACACCAACTGAAATCAACAATGTCTTCATGGTATCACCTGATACGTGAATAAGTCAAAATGTATAATCACTCTGTTTCATGTCTGTTTGGCATGTAAGTTATACTCATTCTATATTGTCGACTTACACCATCCATGTAAACGATAATAAAATTGATTGGGTAAAACGATAACACAGAAAGAAATAGAAGTGTTAGTTGATGAATACACAAAGATGATTCCTGATAAGTCTTATTACTGGTCATTTTGAACTGGAAAGATAAATGTCTGAAAGAGGAGGAAAATTTCAAACAAATGATAACAACGTGGCAGAAACCAAAGGAATTCATACATTTCACCCTGATTTGTGTGTACAGAAGTAATTTGTAACCCGCCTATCTCTTCCATGGTTGGACATAACTTAACAAACAACATTATTGTAATTATTACTTCAAATCATGTTTTTAATTTTGTTATCTTCACTGTTGAAATCATGAGTCAATTGAAGCTAGACCACCATCAAAAACATGGGAGCACTGGATGGCCGTTTCGTCCTATTATGGGACTGCTCAGCAGTGCGCATCCACGATTGACTCATGATTTCAACAGTGAAAATATTAAATTCTCCACATAACCCCCTCTGATCTATAATCATATGCTCACTAGTGACTGACTTTAAGAGATATTTCCTTGAGTTCTAATGGGAAGCAGTGGCCAATGGAGTTCTACCAAGTTTGTTGTGTAGATATCAACTCACTAAAGACAATTGGTGAACGGTCGCTCAAAATCGTGGATTGGTTGAAGTAAGACATTAACACCTTTGGATGCCAGCCGGCTCAGTGGTTTAGAGGTTCAGTGCTCTGGCGTGAGACTGGTAGGTCCTGGGTTCAAATCTCGCGAGTGCGGGATCGCGGATGCGCACTCCCGAGGAGTCCCGTAATGGGACGAAACGGCCGTCCAGTGCTTCCAGGTTTTCGATGGTGGTCTAGCTTCAATTGACTCATGATTTCAACTGTGAAAATACTAAATTATCCACAAAACTCCCTCTGATCTATAATTTTGTTATCATCCGTCTGCAATTTTCTGCCTCTTTCCGTTTGTATTCTTCATTATCTAATTGTTTACATACTTCTTATTACGTAATGATTTGAATGTTTTGTGATTACAATCCCCTAAATCTATTTACCTATGTTTGACCTCCTATTTCCATTGGTTAATTATTGATAAGAATTTTGTTATCGTAATTTACTATTCTAACTACTATCAGTATACCAGTTTTCCCACTATCAACTTGTAATTTTACCTATTATGCTTGGTGACGTATTCTATTTCATTGTGATTATTGACTTAAATTGCCTTGATTGGTTTAACATTTTTGTGTAAATATTCATTTATATATATTAGAGTAAAGCCTAATGACGATCTAATTGAAAACAATATTGTTCTCTTACATGTGTTGTTCTAAATATCAGATTGTCATTAAGATGTTCTGAGTTAAGTGATATTCAAAACCGAATGATTAGAATACACAAAAATTGAATTTTATATCTGGGAAACTAACTTAATTCACAACACAACTCACTGATTTAAATAAAATGAAAATATTGGGTCCATATTCACACTATTTGCCAGTAAATTCGGGAACATCGGAATTTTACCAAATTTCGATATCCTCCTACTCGACATGCCAATTATTCCATCATACTTGTTAGTGAAGTAATCCAGACTAAATATATTCCTCATTTCAGCAAACGCTTGATTCCGAATCACCAACGAGCCTATCTGAAACACCATTTTATTCTTAAACATTCTCAATTCTTACTCGTATGTTGTCCAGACTCCAAAATCCAGAGTAATTACTATCCAGATAGGTAACATCAAAACTGGAACCATCCGCTACATAAGTCGATGATTTCGAGCTATCGTAAAACGAAAACATCCAACAAAATATATCAAGAAACCAACAATTCCTTGAAGCGAACCAAGTGTCAGTCGATCCTGTATCAAACAACACTCGTAGCTTTTGAGGTGGAGTTCCCACTGATATCTCACCATAATACTGAAACTAAATTGAAAGATTTTTTTCATTGAAAATTTCGACAGTATTGTTAAATCCAATTGAAAATGAATTTCGGTTATCTTCTAAGATTAATTAATAGTCTAATGTTATATAAATATATTCCTGTTGTATAAGTGTTCAGTATTAAGAATATGTATATCTATATTCCTATTATCACAAGCTTCATTTTGTCTTATGGATTATTATGATGCGAATCACTGTTTTAAATTATACTCAGTTAAGTGATTATTGTATCCCACGTTCACAGCCACATTCGTCATGATCTTGTACAAATATTATTTTCTATTTTATGGTGTGATGCAGTCTGTCTGTCTGTTATATAGACCGAGTATGCTTGAAATAAATGATTCGAACAGCAGAAGCTGTAATTGGTGTTCAGGACTCAATTGGAAAGGCTGGGTGGACAAGGAACTAACAAGGACGCTAGATTGCTCATACCTCTCGAACGTCATTTTGTTAGCACAGTGTTAAGATTGGGAAAGTCATATTTCGGTTGGAGGATAAATCATGTGATAAAAGCAGGACATAAAATCACAACAATTTTGATATAAAAATAATAATTATGTTTGTTTCCTTTGAGAAATTCTTTTGATTTGAATTAACTTTCAGATAAGATGCGCATGTGGCTATGATATTTTGTTATTTGTATCAGTGATTCAATTGTCAGTAGTTTCCATTATCCTGTTACACATATACTGTTGAGGACTATATCAATTAGTTGTATTCCATAGTATTTATTTTACAGGCATAATTCAACAGTTACATTTTACAAGAACAACTTCTCACTCACTGTGTGATCTTAGTTACTTTGTGGTTACAATCCCCTTAGATTGTTTCAAATACACAATATTCAGTCAAATGTAATTGGTAAGAAGGGAAGTCGTGATATTTCCTATTGCTTATTAGATTCACATTAGGGTGAATTTCAAACTATGAACACGATTGATACACTTACGTTCTCATAATTAATCAGTTGTTCTAGTATAGATGTGTTTTGTTTTTTCCATTGATACATAGATATTTTCTTTGAAGGGCTAAAGTAACTCGTATAATGTGCTAGTAATGAATTGGATCTTTCCAATGGGTGGAGTGGAATTTTTACAATCTCACCAAGTAAATATGGTAGAAAACCGACAATGATGAATAGAATCATTGAGACTTGTTTGAGTACTCTGAAACGTGGTGATGTCTGTTATTTTTATTTTATTTTCATCATGTTTTATTGACATAGATGTATCAAATTAACTTGAGCATTGATTAGAAAAAAACTCGAATGCTTGTTGTAATTCGATACGTGTTTAAGGTGTGCCGACATCTTTAAGAAAATGGTTCAAAATTCCGTTGAAACACACTTCTATTGCTTGATATATTGTATGATGGCCACAGCTTCAAATGTGTATTAATAAAATGATGATTTGAGTGGGAACTCGACGTCAAAAGCTACGAATGTTGTTCGATACAGGATCAACTGACACTTGTTTCGCTTCAAGAAAGTGTTGGTTCCTTGATTTATTTTGTTGGATGTTTTCGTTTTACGATAACTGAAAATCGTCGACTTATGTAGGAGATGGTTCCAGTTTTAATGTCACTCATCTGGATAGAAATTATTCTGGATTTCGGAGTATGGATACGATACGGGTAAAGTTTGAGTATATTTGAAAATATAAATCACCTGCAGATAAATTAGCTATTCCTTCGCAGCCGAGCATTTGCAGAGTGACGAATATATTTAATCAATTTTACTTCAGTAACAAATATGATGGAATAATTAGGTATGTCTAATAGGAGGATGTCAGAATATGGAAACATTCCAATATCCCCAAATAGATTAGCTGGCGATATTATTATAGATTTAATATTTTCCTTTGATTTAAACCGGTCAGGGTAAGCTTACCATGCTTGTGAATTAAGGCTATATCAACGCAATACAGCACAGTATGCACATATGCCAATTAGAGATTGACCAGTTGCAGTCCTAACACATCAATTCATACAAACAATACTATGTGAATTCTTTTAATCAGTTTAATACTGTCATTCGAATTATGTTTATTTTGGCAATAGCAACTACACTACACTATGAAACAACATTTCTGTTTTGTTAAGTAACATCATTCTATTCCGCCCCCCTCCCACTCAATATGTATCAATATATGTAATATCTATGTAAATAATATCAAATGTATCGTCTATAAATAGTTCAGATTTGTTTCATAGTGTTAATCAATTTCATATTTATTTACAATGATTCAATGATCAAATGTAAGTAAATATAGAAAATATGGTACTATCAATTAAAGACTAAATTATTTTCTATTAATAAATTAATACTAATAGTCATGAGTTCTCTTGATCATTACTTTGGATGAAGTATAAAACCTTTAAAAGGTATAAAAGATCAACTATAACCGTAATATCAGAAGGCGTTTTCGTGGATATTATGGTAATTTGAATAGTTGAGATTACTAGTCAATTGAAGCTAAAACATCATGAGAAACCTGGAAGCACGGTTGCTCAATTTCGTGGATTAGTTGAAGTTAGACATTAACACCGTTGGATGTCGGCTTAGTGGTCTTGAGGTTAAGTACTTGCGGACGACACTGAAAGGTCCTGTGTTCGATTCTCGCGAGTCAGGATGGTGAATGTGCACTGTTAAGGAGTTCCATACTAGGTTGAAACGACCGCCCACTGCTTCCAGGTTTTACATTGTAGTCTAGTTTCAATTGACTCATTAATTCAACTATATAACCATAATACTGATTAATAAAATATAAAACTGAAATCCATTTTACAAGTTATATGTATTTAGAATATTGATGAATAGATTATGAATTGAAAGTGAAGGGGTTTTGTAGAGATTTAGTATTTTCATAGTTGAAAGCGTGAGTCAATTGAAGCTAGACCACCATGGAAAACCTAGAAGCACTGGACGGCCATTTCGTCCTATTGTGGGACTCCTCACCAGTGCGCACCCACCATCCCGCCTCGCGAGATTCGAACCCAGGATATATCACTTTAAATAAACGTGCGAAATGAAGATTGATCTTTATCTTCATACGTTGTATTTAGAGATACAGCATTTAGTGCTTTCAGGTTTTCCATGGTGGTCTAACTTCAACTGACTCTTGATCTTGACTATATAAAATTACTAAAATCTCCACAAAACCCCCCTTGTGAAAATATTGAAGTCCTTGAATATCAACATAATCATTGGTAAACTTCATAAAATTCTAATTTCTTATGATCAAGAAGCACAATGTGTCAAGATAACTTACCTAATTCAGTTTGATTTTCTTAATGAAGTGACTATACAGATTCAATCCTCAAATTCTCAAATAGCTATAGAATCATTTGTTATTATAGGGCAAAGAATACGTTTCCTCAAATAATCATTCTAATAAAAAGTAGAATAGTGGTTGCAAATCACGCTACATATTGTCCTACTTATTTATCCTACTTGATTATTTTTCTAAGGGAAACTTTATATTTCACAGTTCTCATAAATATGACCATGAATGGAATAGTATACTCAGTAATACAAATCAAATCAGCTGACTTATTTACTAACCATTTTTTAATGTTAAACATCACAAAACATAAGTGCTACACTTAAGTTAATAACTTGAAAGTAAAAAAATGAAGGCACTTAAAGAACCTGGCATCACTTACAACTTTTCTACATTGATTAAAATAATCTTAAATAAATGATTAGTCGTATTCATTAGTGAATACACATTACTAAGGGAAATAGAAACATATATGAAAATGACGAATAACAACTGGAACGAACTGGAAAGAATTGACCAGGACGGGGTTGGATGGAGAATGCTGATGGGCGGCCTATGCGTAAGTAAGTGAGTAAGTATTCATTAGAGAATAAAAAACTGGAATTAGAAAATAACTGTACAACGTATTTTTAAATAATCAAGATGTTTTGTGTATGTTTGTTGCACATATTCAAGAATACAATAAAGCTATTTAGTGAGTGACTTGATATTAGTTCTACTTACTTACCCTCCAGATGGAGCATAGGCCTCCAACCAGCATTCTACAACCCACTCTGTCCTGGGCCTTCCTTTCTAGTTCTAACCAGTTTTTGTTCATTCTTCTCATATCTGTCTCCATTTCTCGGCGTAATGTGCTCTTTGGTCTTTCTCTTCTCCTTTGGCCTTCAGGATTCCATGTGAGTGCTTGTTTTGTGACGCAGTTAGGTGATCTCCTTAAAGGATATTAAATCTAGCTACAGGTTTATTAGACTTTAGAGTAGGGTGTCAGTATTAGGTTTAGGAAACGGTCTTAGAAATTGTTGACTAAGTGAATCTAGATCTTAATATTGGTGCGCACATTAGACTAGAACTCAGTATGTATTTGTTATAAACGTATGTATGCCGTCGCCAATTGTTATAAACGTAGAGAGAGAGAGAGGATGCTGGTTATAACTTTAGGGGTTCTTGTTATAACAGTCCTTTTACTTCTTACACGTATGTGGGACTTTAATTTATCTTAGACGAATATCTACACTAGATTCCCACCCAGTGTCTATTCCACAGGACTTCAACACAACTCAGATCAAGAACACCAGATTAGCCTGACTATAACGTCAATATATTTCACACCAAAATCCGACACATGGAACAGTCAATCAATAAGTGTCCATTAACAAGGAACAATCAAGAAGTCCATACATAATAAGGATAGGGAAATATATATATAACACATAACACCTGTCATCCCCTCTAATGTCTGACTCATCGAGACAACCAATCATTGACATTCTCGCCCACACATCACCTCCCTCGCGAAGTTTGATCGTATGATTTCACTTTAGGGTCTATTTGAAAAAACTTCGTTTGTTTCCGTTTCCTGAATGACCTTCGTCTAACTTCTGATTCTAGATCACTTTTTCTCATTTCAACTTGTGGTGGTGGTGGTGGAATATCAAATGTATCACATAAAACTTCCATTGGTAATGGTTTGAGTTTGGATGACTCATAAACACATTTTCTATCTCGCAGTTGATTTACATGTCTAATAATTAGTGTATTTTCGACCATCACTTCATATAATACTGTACCACGTCGTTTTTTTATAAACCCAAATATCCATTTTGGCTTGCCAGGCCGGAAATCCCGTGCATAGACTGAGTCACCTACTTTGAATTCTCGAATTTTCAGGCAATTCCCTTTCTTATTTTTTTGTAGTCCACTGATTCTGTCTTTCGGGTTCAAAACATCAAAAAATGTTCTAATCGGTCGGCCAAACATTATTTCGGCTGGAGATTTCCCATCTTGACAGTTTGGACTTGGCGTAATTCTATAGGAAATGAGAAATTGTTGCAGAGCCTCTTCTACGTTGCCTTCTCCTCCCATCTTTAAGAGAGCTCGTTTAAGAATATCAACAAATTTCTCTGCCTGCCCGTTCGACTTAGGGTGATACGGTGGAGTTCTAACGTGTTCGATTCCATTCTGTTTACAGAACTCCGCAAACTCTAACGACGTGAACTGCGTCCCGTTATCTGAAACCAAAACATTAGGTGTACCAAACCTACCAAATAGTTGTCTCAGATGTAGCAGTGTTTCAGACGTAGATGGTCTTCGTACCACATAAATTTCAGGCCATTTTGAGTATGAATCAACCACCACTAAAAAATATTGTCCGCTTATTGGTCCAGCATAATCAACATGTAGTCGGATCCAAGGTTTTTTCGTTTCTGGTCATGACTGGGATTCTGCTTTCGGCACATTCAACGGTAAATCCCACAAACCAAATTTATCAATCCAATCAATACCTAATAGATTGGTATGACAGTTCCCGGATACGTAACATTTCCCGGTCATAGTCTTTTCACCAAACGTGAGAGGTAGCTGTATTACTCCAAGAAGAGTAATATTAGTTCCTGACGCACTCTTGGCATTATAACATGTAGGTAGATATCTGGGTCGGCCAATTTTAATCCAAGTTTCTCTAGAAATTAATGTCATGTCAGACCCAGTATCGACTTGTAGTTTGACCGGTTTGCCATCGAAAAAAATGGTTACATACTTCCTTTTAGAGGAGAATTGCTCACTTTTTGTAGCCAGAACAACATTTGAGTTATGCGGCATTACTTTTGAAGTATGTATCTTATTTCCTTTACGGGACTTATGCTGACGGTCAGAAACCTTTGGTTTACTTTTACAACATACTTGAGCATGACCATATTTACCACATTGAAAGCATAATCGTTTTTTAAAGTAACAAACTTTGGCAGAATGAGACTTACCACATCGCCAACATGACGTTTTGTGTTTCACTTGATTTGGGATTTTCTGGGATTTCGAATCTTCATTTTCATTTAAAGATTTACATAAAGCATTAATTCCCACGTGTTCACTGTTCCTTTCTACGAGATTCGTGTCATGCTTCAAATTAACCATTCTTTGACACTCTTCAGATACTGATTGTAGACTGATATTAGGATCTTGTTCGATTCTCATTAGAATCCGTGCTCTAATATCTGCATCTACTGAAGATTGTAATCCACATACAAAAATAAGGCACTTGAATTGATCTGAGGACATTTCCTGTAATCGGAACCGCTCACATTCCCGGTTCACGATACTTGCATACGTTACGTAATCGTCCTGTACTTTCTTTACAAGTTGAAGACACTGGTATCTAGTGTGAAAAATTGATGACCGTTCACCAAATATACGAGTCAGGCATTCAACTGTTTCTTTGAACGTTATGTCGGATGGCTTCTATGGGAGGATAAAATTACAGAATTTTTCATGTTCGGACACTCCGAGCTTTCGTAATAATAATCTCAATTTCGAACTTTCGTCCCACTCTTTACATTCATTATTAAACAAATCCTCATGGCGTTTAAACCACGCCTCAAAAGTAACTCCACTTTCTGGATCAAATCTAAATTCAGTTATTGAATTGGCAATAGAATCCGGAGTCATAGTGGAATTAGACACATCAGTTCTTGAGGAT